CCGGTGATGTACAGGGGACAACGCAGCTGATACGGATAAACAACCTTACAAAATATGTAATGAAACTACCAGTACCAGAAAATCGAGGCTGTGCGATAGGATTTGAGCAGTATCTTCCCTTTAAATGTTAACTGCATATGTCGATCACTGATATGCAGCGTATTGATTTGGATGAATTCCATTACCTATGCGATGTTCCGTTGCAATGATGTAGGGAGCCAGTCCACTTCAAACACAATAACCCGCTGCGTCCAATAACCGCGCTGAAGAGTGTGAAAGTAATGTTAACGCAAACACAATTATATTATTTATCCACAACTAAAGAAACGTATAGTTTAACGAATCGTCTTACTATCCGCAATACATTCTGATGCGCGAGTCGCAGGTTATCCAATGCTGGCGCAGTTGATGATGACTTGGGTCTACATTATGGCCCGTTTCTAACTCTGTAGCCTCTTAAGAGGATGCACACTTCTACCTCTTGGTCCTCTCCCGGGGGTAAAGCGCGGCCGAGGAGTGATGCTGAGCACTCACCGCAATCTTGTGCTGCGATGAGAATGAATAGGAGCTATATCTCTCCTCTCCTCTCCTCAAGCGCCTACATGGCGTATTGCGGGACAGTTTAGTTAACTTTTACAGCTCTGTCCGAGAGCATCGACAGTGTTTGGTTTCATGTCGATAACAGTTTCCAGCATCAGCTACTACTGTTACATTACTTTTGTTGTTGTTGTTGTTATTATTATCATTATTCCATTTATTCACAATTTTACAGGGTATTTACTTCCATGACCTAAGATAAACCTTGCTCCTGAGGTACATAGTGCAGCAGCTATTTCTGAAATACATTTTGTATTTTTAATACGTGTTACATGCATTATACAGATTTATTGTGATGCATTATTATATATTTTACATTACATTATTATTATTAATTTAATTAAATAAGTATTTTAACCTGGACTTTGGTTTAGTGCTTGGCTGTTATTGGCCTTTTTGGCTGTTGTCAAGCACTTAAATAATGGAACTGAATTTAATTTAATTATTGATGTAAAGAATTGAATTGAATTGAATTATTGCTGGAGTAATTCATCAATCAATCGAGCGATTGGCTACTGACTGCAAGACCGGATTTCGACTCCCGGCACGGGCAGGTAATTATCACCACGTTCCAACTGGGGCTCACCGACACTCCTACTCAGAGGGTTCTTGGGTGTTCGTCTTCAGACGACAAAGCTACTTGGGGGGGCAACTGAAATCCTTCTAATGCTGATGGCATAATCGGTTGCATTAGCATCAGTAACAAAGCAGAACAGCTGTCCACAGTCTCTCGTGAACTGCAGCTGATAGTGTTTCACCAACTGAATCTCCTTTAACGACCTGGAAATTTTCCCACCCTTCATCAAGTTGCACCGAAAATTCTAAAACAGAGTTTGGAAGTCGCATCGAAACCCAGAAAATTGTGCAATGATTCCAGCGTCTCCAATGGACATAACTTCTTGCCTTACTGATTTATGTAACAACTCTGTGCATTCGTTAAGTACTAGTACGTTTTAACATAAAATCGGGCATACAGTTTAATTTCTCATTCATCCTTCACGAAGTTTCAGTTGTTACAATCTCGTTTTGCTAAAATAAACTAACAAACTTTCAAAGTTTTGTTTACCGTCAAATCATAAATCCCTCAACAGAGCATAACGTTTTACACGGGAGTGTATAGAGCAAGTACTTTAGGAGAGTAACTATGGAGTGAACCATTAAAAACGTCAGCAGAAGACAAATTACCGCAGGATTAAATGAGCAAGCCTTTCATATGTGAAGCAGAAGCGATGCCAGTTCACAAGTGCTACTGAGGTGTGAGCAAAACAATTACTGATATGCTGAGGTTATCAAACTCGAATCCTACGTGTTGATAGACTAAGCTGCAAAGACACGTGCTGCTACAAGGTGATTAATACAGGGAACACTTTAAGTGGCTGAGTGATACTTAATTGCTATCTCAGAGGCCAACTGCAAATAACTTCGTACACTCCATTGCTACGTGGAACCTAAGCACTAACTTATTTTAAAACTAGGCTTCCCACGTAGCCGCTTCAAGAAGTGTTTGTGAACACTTACCACCAACCCAAGTTGCAGAGATATGATTAATTTTGTAATAAATCAACGTTGTTTGAATCTATAATGCCGACAATTTCTGCGTCATTTTCCACAGCGTAAATTCTGCTTACTTTAATTATACCAAGATAAATTCTGATGTTCTAGCGTTAAAACTCACTGTTAAATGTGGTGAAAGAACGGTTTCAGAGGAATTTCAGCATATGAATTGTAGCCGATTCGATGCTGGTGAGCAGTTTGGAGTAACATTTTCGGATACCGCCGGAATACGGATATTTGCCTGGTTATATCAATGTTTTCTTGTGACGGTACAGGCCTTGTGATTGACTTATCCCTAATGCAGGAACTCTTAAAGAGTGTCAAACAACTTTATACACTGAGAATTAATATTATTTGGGTCAGTATTTTAATACAGGGACAATAAGCAGATCTGTACATTCTGCTTAATAAATTCTCTCGATTGAAAATAACAGCAATTTAAAACATTCTGGTTTAGTATCTGACTGCCCTCTAGGCCAACAGTTTATCAACTGTAATGTCACGTAGTGTCCAGTGAGATACGAGTAGTGAGTACTGAGGGATATGGAAGGAAGCAACCTTTTTAAGAACATAATCCTAGCATTTGCAAGGAAAGACTGAAGAAAAACATGTAAATTATCAAATTAATGTATATCATTTCTAGATAAGTATCCAAATCTGTAGAATAAAGTCACACGCATTAACACAGAGGGGAAAACATAATGTCGGCTTATAAATCAATTCTACGTTATTACTCTACAACAGACGTCTGATTGTAATACAGGACAAAACTGTATTATAAAATCCAGTAGTACGTAAGACCTCGAATGAAAACTGAGTCTCAAATGTTTATATAATCCGAACTTCCATAAAAATGTTAAATTAACAAAAAAATACGACCGATGTAAAAGCAGATCCTCATTTTACATCAATATTGACCATTGTGACGTTGCATTAAGGCATCGTTAAGAGATATTCCGTAGCCCTAAACAACGTAACAGTAATACTGCATACGGAAAAATATACTTTACAGATATATAA